AAAAAAAAAAAAAATTTTTTTTAGACACTCCATTCCTACCCGTTTAATGTTTGCTTCTTCTTTCTGTTCACTTATCCAGACAAGAAGTATAAGCCATAAGTTAGAGTGATAGTTGCTCAATCATTTAAAACCAAAAAAATTTTTTCACTCACAGCGGTCAACAGTTTTCAATTACAGTTGAAAAGAAAGACATCTTTGTGGTTTTCAAGACTTTGGCATACAGTAAACATTAAAGGAAGAAGAAGACATTTAAAAAACGACAGTTGTCAAGTTTAGTTCCCTTAACGTCGCAACTAACTTGGCTGCCAATAAAAAGTGTGCAATTTAATAAGACAGTTTTCATCATCCAGTTCTGCCAATACAGCTGAGTCACTTAAAAAAAGGTTGAAGAAAAACAATGAATTTGCTAACCTTATCCTGAATTTTCAAAGCATGTTCTCGAATGCCACCAAATGGGATGAGGCCAGACTGAGAGCCGAGCTCTTTGTCCCAGAGTGGTGGGCATCCAAATCTCGGTATTACTCCATCACTGCTTTCGCTTAATTCCTTGCTGCTCGTAACAGAAACAGCTAAAATAGTGTCAAAATGTTCATTGTTTCTTAGGCTTCCTTGTCATACAAAACCGACTAACAATTTTATTTTTACACATTTATCTAGTTTACTGAGGCAGTGAAATACTTTCAAAAACAATTTGCTTTTTTATAAGCATTTTTTTAAAAGCAAGAAAAAAAGAAACGATTTTTTTATTTACAACGAAGATATGTTACAATATTTTAAACAATAAAGTGACTCAAATAAAACTGTTTAGTTAGCTGAACACCTATAATTATTCTTTATAACTGTGGAAACAATGTAGTGAAAAAAAAACAGCTTACTTGCATTTCGTAAACATCCAAAACCGCCAGTACCTTTTTGGCTAGCAAATTTATTGGAACCATATTCCCACGGAATAACTGGTGGTAAAATTAATTTTTTTCTTGGTTTTTTTTCCTGTTCACGCCTTAGTTGGTCCTGAAAATCCGAATATTTTAGACGGCAAAAACTGCAACAGTGCAGATGTATCGACATCTGCAAA